GTCTTTAACACTGCCATTGAGTAATCTTTGTAACATTTCTTAATAATGCTAGATAAGAAAATTATTCATCAATGATAGAGTTCTAAACATAGTTCTTGTAGAAGAAAATGACTGGATAATTAATTTTTGGAATAACTTATGCGGCAAGTTAGGTCTTATGTTTACTTTTCTTGTCCCTATTCAACTAAGAACAGATAAAACGACAAAAAGAAATTGAAACAAACAAAACATGAAGTCTCATGAGAAGCTGATGTTATCAGAGATAACTTGAATCCTGCATTTTGGTCAGGCTACTTTTTCAAGCATCTGAAGTTCGGTTGATTCTATACTAAGATCATCATCAAATGGAGTATCGTAGTATACATTGTCGGCCAAAAAATGTAATACAAACACGTAATTAAAAACTTTGATGCTAAACGAAAGAAGGAAGAACCCATAATAGTCCAGGTTAATGTAAAGATCTTTAAGAAACTATAAAGAAGCATATTCATATATGGTGTTGATGTAACCAAAAACTGGAAAAGAATACAAACACGTTCTTAAAACTTTGATGCTATATAAAAGAAAGAAGGAAGACATATATATTCATATATATATATATATATGGTTTTGATATAACCAAAAAGTCAGAAACCATAAATGTTCTCCTAAAGAAGAGGACCTCATATCTTCCGAAGTGGGAACAGTAGATGATACGCTCAAGTTACTAAAGGGATAAGTTGGACCTTGCACTTTGGTGAAGCTAAGCTACTAAGCATCAGAAGTTGCGATGACACTTTCATATCTCCGTCAATAGATGAATCATAGTGTAAAACCAGTTGTTCAAGACGAGGCATTGTTTCCAAAAAGTGCTTGACCTTCTCTATTTGCTTCTCTATTTTGTCATCACTAATGAATAATATCTTTAGCACTTTCACCGAACTTGATGATAGGCAGGTAGAAACGCCCTCCTCCTCCGTATCTCTGTGAAGGAGTCCCTGAAACATAAAGACGAAAGGTTTCAACGTTAATTAGTTGCATTAATATTTGTGTGTTTAAAGGAAACATGATGCTCTAAAAGGTTTGTTTCATACTTGGAAGACTAGAGTTTCAAGCTTTGGAGAATTCTTAAGCAGCTTTTGTAAAGATTTCCATCCAACCTTTGGGTTACTCTTGATAGTTAAATAAGTCAGGTTGTTGAATATCGGTATTTGTTTGCAACAATACGCGAGTACCTGAAACCAAAACCATCTCATGATCAACTAGATGTCATCATCACTCAGATGCAATCATTGTATTAAATCCTTATACAAAATAGCACAAGAATGAGAAAGATTAGAATTGAATACAAACCTCGAGAGTGTCGGGAGATAAGTAGAGAACCCGAACATTGCGGATTCCAACTATAAAATCTGTTGCATTGCCGACCATATAGTTTTCCTCATTGTCTCTAAGTGTCTCTTCTATCTGATCATCTGTCATCCAAATATCGATTTTGGCTTCAACAAGTGAATCAAAATTCACTTTTGGATAATTGTTAGCTATCACTTCAGCATATTCCAAGTAGACTAGGTTTGGAGTATCAAAGGACACATTATTTGGATTTTCCTCGTGCATACCGCAAGACTTCATGTTCTCGCAACAAAACGTCAGTCTCTTGAGAGTGGCGACAGAAACAGGGCAAGATGTCCATACACACGACCCTATATGATCGATAACAAGTTCTTCGAGCACGGGACAACCAGAAAGAAGCTTGCTAAACCCAATATCATCCTCATCAAACACAACTGACCGGAGATAGAGAGTCTTAAGCTTTGGAAGATGAACATGTTTCACATCAATGAAAGGGCCATCTCTAATTTTTATAGTCAGCTTAACCAATGTCTCGCTCATGAAGATCCTTGAAGGAAGCGGATCATATGTCCATTCATTCATATCCACGACTAGCTGGAGATCTGATACACCACGTACCAACACCTTGTGTATCCAAGGAACGACACTATCTGGATCAACTGGATCATGATCATCTACCATCTTTAGAAAGAATTTGTCTAGAGGTGAATTGCCTTGCAAATCAAGGATTCTATCCACGAAATCCGGAAAGCTTGTAGAAAGCTTCACCCTTTTATTATCAACAAATAACACGATACCCACGTCGTCGTGTAAAGGATTCCTCACCCTCTTATCAGGATACAGATAGTCGGAGTCATCAAACTCAAGGTTTGGAAGAAAAGCAACTAGATAATGCCATCGTCTCGAGAGAAGAGATGTCGAAGCAGCTTCTTTTGTAGTGAGGTATGACAAGATGTGACAAAGAAGTGCGTCCGGCAAATCGTTGATCATATCTTTAGAACCAGAATCCATGGTTGCACCGTGAAAGATCGATACTTAGAGCCTAAGCAAAAAAGAACACAAAAGATTCCAGATTCCAGATTGAGAGATTAGAAGAGCCGAATTCAGAAATCTCTATTGCCGGAGGGAAACGAAGAATTGAAATTTAGGGCTTTGTCATTGTAGACGAGAGCGAGAAATCAACGTGGCAAGGGTTTGTATTGTAGAGTCTAAAGATTTTTATTTTAGGGCAAAAGGCGTATTTACTGATTAGTGATTTACTTGGCGAGCAAAAATCATTATTATTTGTTTTTTGTAGTTTTCTTTTTTTAATCCTCATAGGAATATTACTATTTAACGATTTTTACAAAAATACTATTAAGTTTGTTTTTCTATAAAAAAATATAAAATACTAATGGCGCGAAATTGTGGATTTTTAACTTGTCCATGTGTGTTATATTTTGATTTAGAAACCTTTTATAAACATCATAAACAATTTATAGGAGTCAAAAACAAAGTTGACAAAAAAAAAAAAAAATTTAGAAATCTTTCTTATATATTCCGGATAAGCTTTACTAAAACAATTGTAAAATGATTCACCAAAAAGAAAACAATTGTAAAATATCACTTATCTTTACATTAGTTTGTCTTTAACATTGCCCTTGAGTAATCTTTAATTTGTACTCCCATAATGTGGAGTAATATTTTTCAACTGTACAAAATCTCCCATAATGCTTATTAACCAACTCACATTACTACCCATCAAGAAACGAGTTTTAATCACAGTTCTTGTAGAAGTAAAGCACTGTGGTATCATTTCTAGATAACTTATATATAGCTATCATGTTTACATATCTTTATCCCCACCCAACCGAACCAATAATAGATAAAACACAAAAGAACTGAAACAAACAAATCATGAAGTTACCATTGTCATCGGTTAATGATGCTCGGTGGCTACTGGGCTACTGGCTAGCATCATTAGTTTACAAGATTCATCTTAACTAAATTTATGTGATGATCATTCTCTAACACAATGACTACCATCATTTTAATTAGGTGAAGTAATTGGTGTTACAGAGTATCAGATTATTTGATTTACGAATACAGACTCTGGCTTAGAAGACATTAATTCACTACCAATACAGACTATGATTTACGAATTGTGATGCCGAGTTCTAAGATTTGTCTAACAACATTCGTTCATATACACAGAACAACTTCATTCATATACGGATCGACAACTAAAAACAATCAAACTTGGGAAATTCAAGCAGTTTCCTTTATGACTTGGATCTCGCTGTCGGATGAAGCTTTGGGAAGAAGCAAAAGATCTTTCATGACGCTACTTCTTTCTCTAAACACCAAAATTAATGTAAATTCTCTCAACGTTAAAGCACATTTGTGTAAGAAAACAAGCTGTCGAGAGATTGACTTAACTGTTGATCAGTTAGATATATACTTCACCAAGATTAAGTTATTTTAATGTATATTTTCTACAGTACAGTCTTCCATATTCTCAATTAGAAAGTGATCCATCAAAATTTTGTGATCAGATCATATGGCAAGGTAGGTCTCATGTTTTAGATTTGTTTTTCCCGGTCAACTAGAAATGGTTAACACAAGAATACAAAACAAAAAGATGAAACACACAAAACACGAAAGTTAACATTGCCGGCCAAAACTGGAAAAGAATACAAACACGTTCTTAAAAACTTTGATGCTAAACGAAAGAAGGATCGGAAGACATATTCATATATGGTTTTGATATAACCAAAAGTCAGAAACCATAAATGTTCTCCTAAAGAAGAGGACCTCTCATATCGTCCGAACGAAGTGGGAACAGTAGATGATACGCTCAGGTTACGAAAGGGATAAGTTGGACCTTGCACTTTGGTGAAGCTAAGCTACTAAGCATCAGAAGTTGCGATGACACTTTCATATCTCCGTCAATAGATGAATCATAGTGTAAAACCAGTTGTTCAAGATGTGGCATTGTTTCCAAAAAATGCTTCGCCTTCTCTATTTGTTTCTCTATTTTGATGATAGCAACGCCCTCCTCCTCTGTATCTCTGTAAAGGAGTCCCTGAAACATAAAGAGGAAAGATTTCAACGTTAAGTTGCATTAATCTTGTGTGTTTAAAGGGTTTGTTTTAAACATATGATGCTTTAAAAGGTTTGTTTCATACTTGAAAGACGAGAGTTTCAAGCTTTGGAGAATTCTTAAGCAGCTTTAGTAATGATTTCCATCCAACTTTTGGTTTACTCTGGATAGTTAAATGAGTCAGGTTGTTGAATATCGGTATTTGTTTGCAACAATACGTGAGTACCTGAAACCAAAACCATCTCATGATCAATTAGATCATCATCACTCAGATGCAATCATTGTATTAAATCCTTATACAAAATATCACAAGAATGAGAAAGATTAGAAGAAAGATGAGAATGAAATACAAACCTCGAGAGTGTCGGCAGATAAGTAGAGAACCTGAACATTGCGGATTCCAACTATAAAATCTGTTGCGTTGCCAACCATAAAGTTTTTCTCATAATTGTCTCTAAGGGTCACCTCTTCTAGCTGATCATATGTCATCCAAATATCGATTTTGGCTTCAACAAGCGAATCGAAATTTACTTTTGGATAATTGTTCGCTATGACTTCAGCATATTCCAAGTAGACAAGATTTGGAGTATCAAAGGACACATTATTTGGATTTTCCTCGTGCATACTGGAAAACTTCATGTTCTCACAACAAAACGTCAGTCTCTTGAGAGTGGCGACAGAAACAGGGCAAGATGTCCATACACATGACCATATATGATGGAGAACAAGTTCTTCAAGCATGGGACAACCAGAAAGAAGCTTGCTAAACCCAATATCATACTTATCAAACGAAACTGACTCGAGATAGATAGTCTTAAGTTTTGGAAGATGAACATCTTTCACATCAATGCGAGGACCATCTCTAATCTTTAGAGTCAACTTAACCAGTGTCTCGGTCAAGAAGATCTTTGCGGGAAGTGATGACGTCCATTCCTTCAAATCCACGGCTAGATGGAGATCTGATACACCACGTACCAACACCTTGTGTATCCAAGGAATGACACTATCTGGATCAACTGGATCATGACCATCTACCATCTTTAGAGAGAATTTGTGTAGAGGATAATTGCCTTGCAGATCAAGGATTCTATCCACAAAATCCGGAAAGCTTGTAGAAAGCTTCAGCCTTTTATTATTAACCCAATACACGAAACCCACTAAACCTTGCTCATGTAAAGGATTCTTTACCCTCTTATCAGGATACAGAAAGATGGAGTCATCAAAATCAAGGTTTGGAAGAAGAGCAACTAGGTAACGCCATCGTCTCGAGAGAAGAGATGTTGAAGCAGCTTCTTTTGTAGTGAGGTATGACAAAACGTGGCAAAGAAGTGTGTCTGGCAAATCGTTGATCATATCTTTAGAACCAGAATCGATTCTTTTAGAACCTGAAGAATCCATTCTTATAGAGCCTGAACAAAGAACAAAAGGATTCCATATTTCAATATTAAGGTTCCACACATCACTTATCGAGATTCGAGATTTCAAGGTTTAGAATCGTAAGGTTCCATTAGAATTCTCAACGGAAAAAAAAATATATCGAAGAATCAAACAGTACTACTATATATATATGACTATCTGCAAGATCACAAAGAAGGATTGTGGAAGTTTACTTGTAACCTTTAAGCGAATCCGACGAAAATCGCTCAACGATTGAGAGATTAGAACAACCGAATTCAGAAATCTCTCTTGCCGGAGAGAAGCGAAGAATTGAAATTTAGGGCTTTGCCGTTGTAGACGAGAGCGAGAAATCAACGTGGCAAGGGTTTGTATTGTAGAGTCTAAAAGATTTTGATTTTAGGGCAAAAGGCGTATTTGCTGATTAGTGATTTACTCGGTGAGCCATAAGAATATTACTATTTAAGGATTTTTATACTAATGACGATTTAATGAAGACTCAAGAATACGATTTGCGAAAAAAATAGAGAAAGAGACACAGAGGTTTACGAGTTTGAACCACCAGCGAAGTGGCCATAAGTCTTGCTGGTAACTGGCGGATTACAAACTCGCGCTTACAAGACAATAATTCACTAACAATGTCACGATCAATACATACTATGATTTACGAATTGTGATGCCGAGTACTAAGATTTGTCTAACAACATTCATTCATATACAGACAACTAAAAACAATCAAACTTGGGAAATCCAAGCAGTTTCCTTCATGACTTGGATCTCGCATTCGGATGAAGCTTTGGGAAGAAGCAAAAGATCTTTCATGACGCTACTTCTTTCTCTATCATCCACTGCCTTGTGGTAAACCCTAACCACTTGAAGACGCGATAGATTCCCCAAGAAACGCTTCATTTGATTAAGCTCTTGCGAGGTTCCTTTATACCCAGTGATCTCTAAAACCTTCATTGCAGATGATGACAGAGAATCAGACACAGCATCCCATGAAAAGCAGAGGCGGCTCATAGGACTCAAACCTTCCCATCCTTCAGCAACATAGTGCACTAGACCCTGCAAAAACATTGGAGAAAATATCATTGTAGATTCAGACTTAGTATACATATAACTTCTTTTGTATAATACCTTGATGGTGAGTGTTTCAATATTAAGAGAGTTGTTGAGCAGAGATGGAAGCAATTTCCAGAAGATGAATGGTGAACCATGAGGTTTATCGCTTCCCACAGATAAAGATATCAAATTGTTGAACAACGGTATCCTGTCACCCCGGTAATAGAGCGCCTGAAACATACAACCAAAATCAACTCTTTTGACCACAAAAAAAAGCCACACATCTCAAGAAGACTGACCTCTAAAGCATCCGGAGATAAGCAGAGGATCTTGACAGCTCTGATCCCCTTGAACAAGGTTGTGATATCACCAGAAACAAAACCAATGTTATTTGGTTTGCGCATGATTTGATAAGCAGTCAAATGAAGATCAAGCCTAGCTTCAACAAGGCTGTCAAATTTCAAATTTTCATACTTATCCGCAACCATATCCGAATAGTCCAAGTAAACAAGACTCGGAGTATCAAACGAAACACAAGGTTTAGGAGCAGAGGAATCATCATCACTTCTATATACAAGACTCTTGAGCGTTCGAGTTGAAGCAGACCCATTCCAAAACTTCCACTTGTTGGATTCATGAACCCGCAGGCTTTGAAGTGAAGGAAAAACTAATAGAATCTGTCTAAACCCAACCTTATCATCATCACGAAACTCAACCAAATCAAGAACAAGAGAATTAAGCGTCGGAGAAACAGCATCTTTAGGAAACTGACCAAGACGGATCATTGTTCCAATTCTAAGGTTTACCAAAGTCTTGCTCCTAAAGGCATTAAATGGCAAATGAAAGATTCCAAAATCGATGCATAGAGAAAGATCTAAGACACCAAGATCCCTTACTGTTGTTAGTATCCACTTGATTATACAATCTGGTTCAACACCTCCTTGACGACACTTGAAAGAGACTCTTTGAACAGGTGATGAAGTCTCGACTCGTTGAGACAGTAACCTATCCACGAAAGCCTTGAAAAAAACATTTTTTCGTTGACCCTTTTGCGGATTCAGTAACACGGAATCGTCGAAAACAAGAATAGGTATCGATAGAAGCAGATTGGACCAGCGCTTTGAGAGTAACGATGTTAAAGCAGCCTCTTTTGTCGAAAGGTAAGACAAGATGCGGCAGAGAAGATCATCTGGTAAATTGCTAATCACATCTCCATAACTAGGTTTTGCTTTTTTGTTAGCTTCCATAAAGATTAGGGCTTTCGAAAAATGAAAACGAGAAACAGCGAGAAGTTGACAATTGGATCTGATCAGAGAATTCGCATGTTCTTTGGAAAGAGGAGACGATGAACATTTCAGTATTACTCGGTTTAGACCGGTTTAACCCGCTTCTCACAAGATTAAGTGGAATGGGTCTAAAGTCTAAACCCGTTTCTTTGGGTCTATAAGCCCAATGGACCTTTGAACGAGTGACTTTAAAGTCTGAAGAAAAAATACCCAAATTACAACAAAAGAAATCAAAGCCAAAAAATAAACCTGAAAAACAAATGGCAAAAACTGAAAAAAGGAAGGATAAATAATAGAGTCAAAAGTGACGTAGCAAATGACGCTGTAAAAGAAACAGCCAAATTTGTAACGTTTCTATGTTTTCGTTTTTTCTTCAAGTAGTGGTAACCAGAAATTTGTCATTCTGCGTAGTCGACAGCAAAGTACACTTTCTTGGGAAAAGCTCAAAACCATCTCGTCCTCTGCTTTTTTTTGTTTCCATTCTTGTGATAATAATGCAAATTGCAAATCGTTCAATTTATTTCTAACTGAAAATAAAAACCTTTAAAGGTGGTAAAGGATTTTGATGTTTTTCAAAACCATTATTCCATAATTATCTAACAATGTAACAAATATTTCGTCTCATATAGTTTGGAGATTTGAATTAACGTGTTTATAAGATTCCGGTTTAAATTTGATCGGACCTTTACTTAGATCAAATGGTCAATAATACGTGCACATGCAAAGTAACAAAAATACAAATGATATCATTGAATATTAGACGAATATTTGTCCTACGTTCCTAAGATCTATCCTCTCATCAGAGTTCAGATTCTTGAACACGTACGTCAAAAATTTCAGTCAAAGATAAATATATTATGTGGAGTTTACATGATATATATATATAAGAGACGGAGTGGAACTTGAATACAATCATGACGATATAAAGAGTTTAAAAATAATATTCTCTATTATTATATTATTAAACTAATATATTGATATTATTAAAATATTACATAGTATTGAAAATAAATATTATACAACAAAATATTAGATTAAACTAATTTAATACAAATAAAGTAACACAATGAAAATAAAATTACATAAACACATAAATATTACATAAATTAAAATACTATGACAATACTAATAGTAAAAATAAATTACATTGTGAGAATTAGTATATTCCGACCACAAATGTTCAATTAACGCATTCCTAAGTTCAATATGAGCTTCTCGGTCTTTAATTTGCCTATGTCGATTATTAAACAATATTACAAATCATATCTTATCTACTAACTAAATAAACTATTTTAATATATAATAATACTAAAACAAAGCAAAAAACTATTATTTTAATATTTGCCGTGGCTACAGTCAAACACCAAATATAGTGATATACTGTACAACAAAGAGAATCTCACTATTATAGTGCAAATTATACCGTGTGGTTGGAGTGAAAAAGTAAACACTCCTACGGCAAAATGACGTTTTGCCGTTCCATTGGACATGGCCTGAGGAATTAATGTCTGGCTTATTGAGTTTTTTTTATTTGTTCACGTGATGTGAGCCTCTAAAATTTGTTTTTTCCTAAAGTATGTTTCGTCCATTCTAAGATCTCACAGGTTTAAATAATATACAAGTTCTAATGAACTGGCCAATGGATTATATGATTTACACATGGAAATTTTTGTTTTACTGGAGTACTATATTTTTAAACTTAAACAAACGCTAATTATAAGTTGGAAACACACAAGCAATTAAGTCGGTGATCTCATTTCTATGTTTTTTTCTACCAAATCTAGAATTTGATCTCTAGCTAGTCTTTTAAAAATAGTATTGGAATGCCACTATATGCCACATATAAAAATAAAATAAAAAACATAACCAAACGCTGATTAAACAACAACTGTGTGGTAAAACACTTTTTCTTTATTTAAATTACCTTGGCCATTAATATTCGAAACTAAAATCAAATTTAACACTTCACCTATTATCTTGTGGACTTTGGCCCTCTGCGGCCATACATTTATCATAACAAAAAAAGTACTGTTCTTTTTCCACTAAATTTAATCATTTTTGGTTACTAGTCACCAACGAAGTCCCTGCGAATACATCATAAAAAGAAGTCACCAACGAAAAGCTATGGTTGGGAAAAAACGACGGAAAGTAGATTCTTTAAATTAATAAAATGGTCGGAAAAAAATATTTTGTGAAGAAGTTTTATAGTTCGATTTGGATCCGACTTCTTTGGGAGTCACTGTCACGTGTTATATACCATGCTTACATATGCGATTGAGGTCCCAAGACAATCATATAACGCGAATCTGAATTTATATAAGTATATGCCATTACATAATGTATTGTTGCTTTCGTACTTTATGCCTTCATTTTATATATAAATGCGAATTGAGATGCCAACAAGAACATATCGCCAATCATGGTAAAGAAAACAAAACATTTCGCCAATCTCTAATTTATTCACTTTACAGTAGTGATATGTTGTGTTTTTATCGGTTTTGAGTATTTGTTTTCTTTTCTAGATCAAATATTTTATAGAGTCAAAGTGTGTTTTTAGAGTCTTTTAGTCCGTTATCGAGTTTTTACAGGTTTTAGGTTGCTTCGGAGGGAAACGAGCTGTTTTGGGATAAAACACACATTTGGAGATGCAGTTTCATTTAGAAGTATCAGACGTTTGGCCTCAGATGGAAGACTTCCCACCGTTAGATCTTTCTAAAGTTTTGACACAAGCTTGATGAAGATGTTAGCTTGATTTTCCAAGTGATTTGAAGGAAATCTAACGGTGCATTCAGGAGTTATACCCGATTTAGTGAAGACAGGTCATTCTGGCGAGCATTTGAAGCAGGTGCAGAGTTTGGAACCAGAGAAGGTTAGACCGATCGGTCCAGGAGAAGACCGATCGGTCCGGAGCTCGACGGCGGACCAGAGAGGGTTAGACCGATCGGTCCTCCACTAGACCGATCGGTCCGGAGCTCGACGGCGGACCAGAGAGGGTTAGACCGATCGGTCCTCCACTAGACCGATCGGTCCGGAGCTTCGACGGCGAACAGACTTGGTTGGACCGATCGGTCCTCCTCTAGACCGATCGGTCTGATTTCCTGACGCCCGGTTTTGGTTTTCCTTAACCGGATTTATCTTCTATTTTCTGTACATGGGTATAAAAACCCCAGAGACCTAATTTTCTTTTCACGTTGTTTTTCTGCAATTTTTCTGAGAGCTCTTTTGTAAGCTACTCCCCTTTGGATTAGAGATTCATTCCTTCTTGACAATTTGGAGAAGATTTCTAAACCTTTATCTCATTTATTCAATTCAACTATGTTTTCTTCTTCATCTATTTGTGTTGTTCTTTGCAATATGTGTGAGTAGTTCTCCAATTGGGTTTTAGGGTTCTAATTAGGAGATTCAATGGATTAACTGTATTAGGAATTCTTATTCTCTAGGTTCTTTGATTCACATGTTCTTAATGCTAGAATAGGATTGATCACCCTGTTGTAGATTCTAGGTTTTTCTATGCATCAAAAGTGTTCGATAGAATGCCTGAAAGAATGTGAATTGAGCAATGTATGCTTAGCCAACGAAAGTTGACGTTAGGACGCATTGTGAACTTAATGAACCTGTTTGATAATGCGAATTTGACTAGGAAATTACATGCGAAAGTTTAGTAATCGAGTAGTCAAATTTAGTGATTAATGTCTTGAAAGAGAATTAGTCTAGTTGTGTTCATGTTCGAGAACGGTTCTTAATTATTGAATTCCTTGTTTCATGTTTCCCTTGTTTATTGATCTCTGAAATACCCTAATGCCCAATGCCTTTTAAACTTGAAGTTAAATCGTTTTATTTATTAGCATTTTTATTTTACAATCTGAAAACCCAAAACAAAACAATCTTTTAGTTTTAGCTAAGAACGAGTCTCGGAAACCCTTAGTGTACCATTGGTTCTTGTGGATCGACCCCGTATATACTACCTTGCGGTTAAGTGTATCGGGTAATTACTCGAGCAATCAAGTTGGCGCCGTTGCCGGGGACCAATTGCGTTACCTAAAGATTTAGGATTAGTTTTTAGTCTAAAGCATTTTTATTTTCTGTTACTGATTTTCGTTTTCGTTTTCTCTTTGGTGTTTTCAGGTGTATGACCCGCAGCCAAGGCTCGTCACATCTAGCGGACTACCAAGAGGATATCGGAAAATTTGAAAGAGCGAATAAGAAAAAGAAGAAGATAGCCGAGCAGAGAGAAGCTGAAATGGCTGAATTTGATGCTGCAGGAAATCTTCAGAATAGAGATGAACTCCCACTTGGAGGTGATCATCAAGGAGTGTTTCAGGATCCTCCACCGCCTAGAAACAATAATGCTCCTGCTGCTGGTGAACAAGATGCCGCTGCCCGTGCAGCTGCTGAACGTGATGCTGCTGCTAATGCCGCTCGTGTAGCTGTAGCAAATGCTAGGCCCGCGCCTGCTCGACAGACTCTGAGAGAGCATGATGCTCCTAATGTTGTGCATTTCCGAGACAGGAACCAACAGCTGCCAATCAATAGGAATGATTTTGAGATTAAGACAGGGTTGCTATCTTTGGTGAAGCAGAATCAGTTCCATGGTCTCACCTCGGAGAATCCAGTCTACCATTTGGATAACTTCGAGGATATATGCAGTACAACAAGAATGAATGGAGTACCTGATGATATCATCAAATGCAGACTTTTCACCTTCTCCTTGGCTGACAAAGCCCATCGCTGGTTGAAGTCTTTGGACACTGAGAATTTAAGAAGCTGGGAAGACTACAAGGCTGCATTTCTGTCACAGTATTTTACTCAGTCCCGGACAGCCATTCTGAGGAACAAGATCTCTTCTTTTCAGCAGCATGGTACAGAATCGTTCCATGATGCTTGGGAGCGGTTCAAAGACTACTACAGAGAATGCCCTCATCACGGGTTTCCATATGCCACTTTGATCAATACTTTCTACAGGGGAGTCGATAAGGACTACAAGATGGCTTTGGATACTGCTAGTAATGGGGATTTCATGACCAAGACTGAGGATGAAGCTACAGAGCTTATTGAGAATCTGGCAACCAGCAACAGTAACCACAATGTTGACTATGACAGGTCGTACAAAGGTGGAGAAGGAGAGTCGAAACAGATTGCTGAGTTGACAGCTAAGGTAGAGCAGCTCCTCAAGAGAGATCAGCGGGTTGTCAATTTCTGTGATGATTCAAGTAAAGGTCCAGTGCATCAAGAGTTCAGCGGAGACGGTTCTGAAGATCTACAGGCAGAGTTGAATTTCGTAAATGGGTATGGAACCTATCAGAACAGAGGGTTCAATCAGAATTACAGGAACCATCCCAACCTTTCCTACAGAAGTACCAATGTTGAGAATCCTCAGGATCAGGTGTATCCAACTCAGGCAGGGTCACAGGGTCAGAAATTTCAGCCTAGTCAAGGTTTTCAGACTAAGGGAAACTTCCAGGGACAATTCCAACCTCCTGCAAGTATCACTCATGCATCTACATCTGGAGATAATGAGATGAAATTGATGATGCAGCAGATTCTTGAAGGTCAAAAGAAGAATGCTGCTGAGATCAATGTAAAGGTGGATAGCATGTACAATGATCTCAATGGGAAATTTACAACTCTATCCTCACATGTCAAGACTCTTGAGAGTCAGGTTGCTCAGATTGCTTCAGCCTCTACACGACCAACCGGTGCTTATCCTGGGAAAGTAGAACCCAAGGGTAAGGAACATTGTTATGCAATTATGATCCAGGAAGAGCCCAGAGAGAGTGATGTTGCCAAACAAGAAGGAGCTAAGGCTATTGTTGTTGAGACATCTGTAGAGGACAAGATTGGAAAGGTTGATGAACCTTTATATGTGGAGCCGCCATCCTATGTTCCCAAGCTACCATTTCCAGGCCGTGAGAGACAGATTCAGAAGCAGAAAGAGTATACACGCTTTGATGAGATCATGAGACAGCTATATGTTAGACTCCCTTTCTTGAAGTTGGTTCTCCACCTTCCAACTTTCAAAAGTTACCTGAAGGATGTCTTGTCTAACAAGAAGAGCATTGAGGAAGGGATTATGTTGATCTCTAAGAGTAAGGAGTATGTTCAGCTGGAGGAGTCTCGGAGACAACAAGGCAAGGTACAACTCACTGATGTAGTAGGAGTGGTAGCAGAAAAAGAGATTGTCAGCACTAGCAGTGCCATCCTTCCAGTCACTATTCCTGAGAAGCTCGATGATCCAGGAAGTTTTGTTTTGCCTTGCCGGATTGGGAAGTCCATATTTGAGAGGTGTCTTTGTGATTTGGGAGCTGGTGTTAACTTGATGCCTCTTTCTGTGTCAAAGCGTCTAGGCATTACCGATTTCAAGCCATCAAGGATCTCTTTGATTCTAGCTGATCGCTCTGTGCGATACCCAGTGGGTTTGGCGGAAGACGTGCATGTTCGAGTGGGAAATTTCTATATTCGAACTGATTTTACTGTCTTGGAGCTTGACAAGGAACCACAAGATCCTCTCATTCTTGGTAGGCCATTTTTGAACACCGCAGGAGCTATAATTGATGTGAGAAGAAGCAAGATCAACCTGCAAATTGGAGAATACTCTTTGGAGTTTGACATGAGAGAGACGAGGAAAAAACCCCACCATTGACGGTCAGGCATTTTCTATTGATACGAATGATGAATCCAGCGATAAGTGTGTAAAGAAATGCAGTGGTTGGAGTGAGGTCAAGGAAGTCCTGGATGGAGACACTCACATTCCAATAAAGAAGATTGCTGCTAAGGATATGGTGAAGCAGAAAAGGATCAAGGGAGATCCTCATATAGCTTTGATACCGCTGTGTTGTGTCGGGGACACCATTGAGTATAAGGTGCAGTGTAAAGGGACCTCGAAACCTTTTTCCAAAGCTAGGAGCATTCTCACTTCTGAATGGAAAGAGAAGGGTAGAAATGCTGTGAAAAGTGTGGTTGGTAAAGTTCTGAAGCTGAAGTTGAATGATTGGGGACCTTGTTTCGGAGCAAGCTCCCGCACTCATACCCATTAGTCCACGAGAATCCGGTCAAGCTAGTGACATAAAACAAGCGCTTTGTGGGAGGCAACCCACCAGGTATTTCGGATTTCCCTACCATTTATTTATTTTTCCTTTGTTTTCTTTTGAGTGTGTATGGCATCTTTTCTTTGAATTGTTTTCACACCGAGTCGGTGTGAAGCAAGTCGGGGGGAGGATGTCATTTTTCTACTAATCGAGTTTGCTTTGGTTGTTTCTTTTGTTTCTTTCGTTGAGTCTGTTTTTATCGAGTCAAAAAAAAAAAAAAAAAAAATTGTTGTGTCTTTTATTGAGTCAAAATTTGTTTGAGAACTAT